AAATGCTCCCGGGTTATCCGAAGCCCGAACCCAGGCATACGCCCAGGTCCGAAATCATCATACGAACCTGCTGGAACCTTCTGATCCCGATTCCGAGGCGTTTACTTAAAAATTCCAATCCTAGTTCATTCTTTCAACTTTAAGCTTCCGAAATGAGAATTCTCTTTCCAAATCAACTTCGAACTTCCCGAAATTTAATTTTGACCATGCGTACAAGTCATAATACCTTAAATGAAGCTACTCATGGCCTCGGACTGTTGAACGACGCGCTAGGGCTCAAAACGATCAGTCGGGTCGTTACAATGGAGTTATCGCCTGAAGAAGAAATAGTTATTTCCATCCACAATGATACTTTCAGGTGATTGAGAATCCTTATTGCTCTTGTTTATGGTGAATTCTTATTGGCATTTCTTTTCATCATTTGGTTGTGTTTCTGCCTGAAAGATCTGCAGTATGGTTATGTTCAACTTCTGAGGTTAAGATGACATGATTTCAACCTTTGCATGCTATCCTTAATTTATCAACCTGTTTGAAAAGTCAAAAGCATGACTGCACTGATGCTTAAGCCAATCAGTCAGTTGTCAGGGATAAGCAGTCCTTTACTTTTTAACTTAAATCAGAATAAATAAATATGTCATTTGTTGTTTAATTCTTTTATCTAGTTTGTCACATCACACTCTCTTCTTCATTTGGTTGGTCTACCGTTATGATTATCTTTTCCTCCCATTCTTTGCACTCTAACGCATATTTCTCCTGGCAAAAAATATGACAGAAAAAGATTTGCTGGAATTTGTGGTGAAGTTCAAAGGGAAATCTATTTTGGGGGGGTGGGGGGGGGGGTTGGTAGAGGCAAGGGTAGGAGGGCTTTGGCTATTTCTTAATGAATTTGAGAATTATACGTTGGAATGTTAGGGGCATGAATGATAAAAAGAAAAGAAACTTGGTAGATTTGCTTTTCAGAAATTGGAACGCAGACATTGTTTGTCTTTTTGAAACAAAGATAAGTGGTCTAACTCAGGAAGGTATTAAACAAGTTGGGGTTGAATTGGAGGCTCAAGGAAATAGTGGGAGAATTGTAGTGTATTGGGACAAAAAGAGATGGAAATACAAGGAGAAATTGTCGGACAACATTCTGTTACTACTTGTATGGAGGAGGAAAATATTGGCTTTGACTGCACATTCAAAGGGGTATATGCACCTTGTGATCGGAAGATACGGAGGAGCTTGTGGAAAGAGATGGGTGCAATCTATGGCTTGATTTCACAGCCATGGGTTATTGTTGGAGATTTTAATGTGGTGAGATTTGAAGCAGAAAAGAAAGGGAATGCGAGAAACACTAGAGCTATGAGGGAATTTTCCAGATTAATTGATGATTTAGCTTTACTGGATCCTCCACTTCATGGTGGCAAATACACTTGGTTTAGGGGGGGAAATAGTACATGTGCCTCTAGAATAGACAGAATCCTCTTTTGCTGGATGATGGGATGAGCAATTTAAACTCTTAAAATAAAGAGTATTGCCAGGGTTACTTCAGACAATTGTCCTATTCTGCTAGAATGTGGGGATTGGAGTAAGGGAACTGGTTATTTTAAATTCGAGGACATGTGGCTTGAATATAAAGATTTCAGTGATTTGGTTAATTATTGGTGGAACTCATACAATGTACTTGGCAGAGCTAATGAAGTCCTGGCTAAAAAGCTGAAATTATTGAAAGAAGACTTGAAAAAGTGGAACAGTTCTTTGGCAATCTGATAGAAAGGAAAATTAAGGCTTCGGCAAAAAATAGAAGTCTTGGATCAAAGAGCAATTTTGGCTCAAAGTTCTGATCAAGTTGAGGCTAAAAGGTGTGCTATCCAAAGTGAGCTAGGAAATATTGCCAAAGCAGAGGAAATGTCTTGGAGACAAAAGTCCAGATGTTTATGGATTGATCGTGGATATAGAAATAGCAGTTTCTTTCATAAACAGGCAAATGTGCATAAAAGGTAAACTGCATTGACAAGAGTGTTATAGAAGGTGAATTGACTGAAGATGACATATTAATAAAGGAACATATTCTGGGATTTTATAAAAGTTTGTTTAGAGAACCTGAAGCATGAAGGCAAAAATGATTAGGAGACGATCTAAGCAAGCTGACGGAGGAGGAGGAGAAAAAATGGGTATAAAGACCTGTTATAATGGAAGAAGTGGAAACGACTTATTTTAAGGGAGAGCTCCAGGTCCAAATGGTTTTAATCTCCACTTCTTTCAAAAATGTTGAAGTACAGTAAAAAATAATGTATGGAACACCGTAATTTTTTTTATTTTTTCAAGAAGGTAATTTCACTAAAAGTTTTAATGCTATATTTATTGCCTTGATACCAAAAAAGAAAGATGTTGGAAAATAAAAGACTACAAGCCAATTAGCCTCCTGGGAAGTGTATATAAAATAATTGCTAAACTGCTGGCAAAAAGGATCAAGGTGCTGATGGAAAATTTGATCTCTGATAGTCAGAATGCTTTTATAAAGGGGAGGCAAATAGTTGATGCTTCTATGGTTGTAAATGAGTGGGTGGAGTATTTGATCAGAAACAAAAAGCAAGGAGTACTCTATAAATTAGACCTAGAAAAGACATATGATCATATTAATTGGGCATGTGTATTGGATATCATGAGGCGGATGAATTTTGGTGAGAAACGGATAAAATGGATTGAATATTGCATCTCTACCGTAAGATTTTTAGTACTTATTAATGGAAGCCCACAAGATGCTAAAGAAAGCTGAACAATTGGGGTGGATTAAAGGCTTAAATATTCAAAGAAGGGGTGATGCAAGTTGTGTCGTCTCACATATTTTATATGCAGATGATTCCTTACTGATTTGTGAAGCTAAAGAAGAACAAGTCTTTTATCTCAAAGGGGTCCTACTAGTCTTTGAAGCAGTAACGGGTTTGAAGGTGAATTTGGCAAAGAGTAGCATGTTTAGCACTAATGCAGAATATTGTATAGGTGATCTTGCCGAGTTAATGGGTTGTGAAGTGGAGCAGTTATCAACATCTTATTTGGGGCTTCCATTGGGTGCTAGGAAAAAACGAACAGAGGATCTGGCAAGGGGTAGTTGATAGATGTTGCAAAAAATTGATTCCATGGAAAAAGCAATACTTATTCCTTAAAGGCAGACTCACCTTGGTTAGTAGTGTAATGGATGAGATTCCAACTTATTTTATGTCTTTATTTCAGATACCTGTGAGTGTGGAGAATAAACTGAATACTATGAGGAGCAATTTTCTGTGGGAAGGTAATACAGAAAAAAGGAAGTTACATCTGGTCAAATGGCAAAGGTGATGATTGTTAAGAAAGGAGGTGGACTGGGAGTTAGAAACTTGAGATTCCATAATAAAAGCTTGCTTATAAATGGTTATGGAGATATAATGATTGAAAACAGAGCATCTGGAAGAATCTTATAAATGCCAAGTATGAGAAGAAGGAAGTATGGAGCCCTCCAGTTGTCATTATTTCCTCAAAGGGAGCACCTGGAGCAGCATAAGTAAACTGTGGAATGAATTTCAGCAACATGCTAAATTGAAATTGGGAAAAGGGGGCAAAAATCAAATTCCGGTCTAAGTATGGGTGGGGATATGAGCTTGAAAGACAGATTTCTGTCCTTATACAACTGCTCCCTCACTAAAGAAGGAAGTGTGGCTGAGCATTATTCTTCCAATGACTGGCAGATAAATTCTAGAAGAGATTTTAATGATTGGGAGATAGAAGAAGTTCGTCAATTTTTTTCAATTAATGGACATAGTTATGATAGAGAAAAATAAGGAGGACACCATGGCTCGGACAACAAGCGCAGATATGAAGTTTCTGTCAATAGTGACTATAAACTTCTTCAAAAACAAGCATACCATTACGTATCTAATTGGCCATGAAAAATGCTATGGAGTACAAAGGCACCTATTAAAGTAGCCTGCTTTGAGTGGTTAGTTATCAGAGAGGCCTGCTTAACTCGAGACAATTTGCAGAAAAGAGGTTTCCATTTAAGCAATAGGTGTTATCTGTGTGAAGAAGGTTTGGAATCAGTCAACCATCTGTTTATCCATTGTAAAATTGCAAAGCAATGTTTGGAGCTATTCTTGAACCTTTGTGGAGTTACTTGGGTTATGCCTTCAAGCATAGAAATCTATTGGCTAGCTGGCAAGGACAGAAGATAAGAAAGGAAATGAGGCAGATTTGGAGAACTATCCCATTATGTAATTTTGGACCATCTGGAGTGAGAAGAACTATGTTTGTTTTGAGAACATAAGAAATCAGATTTCTAGAATCAAAACTATTGTCTGTATAACTTATTTTTTTTTGTGTAAGAGGTGTATATTAGAAAACATGGATCAATATATGGAATTTTTGGATTTGCTAGGGAAGATGTAATTGGAGGTTTGTGTAGATGTTGTCTGGTGCTTTAATGTTTCTGTACTTGGTACTTTTTATCGATAAAACTTTACCTTGTCAAAAAAGAAAAAAAAAATGTCTGTTGTCTTCACTCTTTCACCTAACACACACACGCGTACAAAGAGAGAGAGATATTATTATTGTTTCCCTTTTACCTATTTTCAGATATATCTAATTTGGTGAAGAAACTAAAAAAAGAAAAGAAAAAGAAAACATTTCAAATGAGAATAAGAGTAAGAAAAGCCTTTTAGGTTTAAGTCAGATAGAAGTGCCAAAAATTAACAGTTGGAAGGTTCTTTATCTACTTAATCAAATAGAGGTCAACGAAATAAATAGATATTGTAATATAGCAGTCAAAATGCAGTCCACAGAATGATCTTGGCATCTGGCACTTCTCTGTTTGATAAACTACTAATCATATTAGCTTAAAAACTATTTGGTGCGATATGTCCTCTCTTAGAGTGATGACAATATCATTTCTGTCTTTGGGCTCGCAGGAGAAATGGATTTCTATTGGAAAAGGATCTGCATGCTCCTCCAGGGCATCGATTTAAGCTAAAAGTAGTTCCCTTCAGCAAAAATATAACTTTTGGAGTCGCACGTAATCACTCAGATGCATTCCATACCTTCCATGAACTTGAAGGTCTGCAGGACATTGGTTAGTGTTTTATCTTTGTGTTGCAACTTCACAAACAACCACACAAGTTGCCTTGTTTGGGTGGTTTTCTGTACTTGCTGCTATTTCTTGTGCTATTTCTTGTATTCATCAATACAAGAATAGATGAATGCAAAAAAAGCTCAATTCTCAACCAAATATATCTAGTCTTTTAATGTATAGGCTTTGATGCTCTCAGGCACACTCCCCGAGGAGCCTGAGAACCCGAAATCTTGAGTTTCTACCAACACCACCAGAGATCCCCCGGAATCGCGAGCCAACCCCTGAAAAGATCTCCGATGAACAACCACACACGCGCCGCCACGCGCGGCCAAGCTCCGGCGAGGCCACCACTACGCGCCGGCGCGTGACACATCTTCCGGGCCAGATTTCAACTTTTTTCTTTTGGACAGCCTGTTCGAGCCTCATTTCCGACCACACCCATCCATGCAGATCTAGATTGATACCATTTTTCTTTTTTCCGGCGACAGAAGCACTATTCCGGCCAGTTTTCACTCACTACCCAGTCAGAAGAAAAAAAAAACTCTTCCTCCTTCTTCTTAAGATTGCAGATTCAATGTTAGTTGTTACTCCCCTCTAAATTTCTTTACCATGGAAGCCAAGATATTTTTTATTTTAGGTGAGAAATCTTTTGAGATCATCGACTCCGGCGAGGGGTGGTTTACTATAATTGAAAGGGGAAGAAGATTTTCGTGTCATATTAACATAGATGATGAAAGTCTCAGGCGAGTTTGCACAGCATTCAGACAAGCAACTGAAAGGGAAGGGAATTATTACAGACGTTGGGGGTGGAGTTCACAGTCTTACTATTACAGAGCCTTTGTAAATTTCAACAGTTGTGGTAGATTCATACATATTGAAGCATGGTTGGGGAGCAGGAAGAAAGCAGTGATTATTCCTGAGGTAGATTACAACTTGGGATGGGCAGATATAGCAAACAAAATTTTACACTTTTTGGGGAAACAAAGTACAAGTAGATCTAGGCTGCCTCCTACTCTTCGGTCCTATGCAGAAACAGCAAAAATTCCTCGTGTGCCTGTGACGAAGCTTCCGGCAAGGATGGTTAACACTGTCAAAGCAGTTAACCCACACGCAGATGACGGGAATCACTATTTCCTCTCAAGGTACTTAGTCGGCACGTTCAACGATCCCTTCAACTATAGCCCCAACCATGAGGTGATACAAAAATGATTTCTGAATAGGTGGAAGGTTTGCGAGGGTCTGAAAGTAACTCCAATGTCTCACAATCAGTTTCTCTTTGAATTCCCATCAACGAAAGAAGCAGTGAGAGTCCATGCTGGAGATTGGTTCTGGAACGGTCGACGACTTTCATTGGAGTGGTGGTCGCCGGTGGCGGGCACTGAGTTAGCCTCGCAGGGATCTGATCAAAAATGGATTAAGGCTTTAGGAATTCCCATTAATGCTTGGCACCTCGAGACATTTAGAATCATTGGCGATATGTGTGGTGGCTTCATAGACATTGATGAAGATATGAGGCACCAGAATCACTACCTCTGGGCAAGAATCTGTGTCAACAATGGTAATATTGAATGTCCAGATAAGATAGAGCTCGATGTGGAGTGCTGGAGTTTCGAAATTTCAATTCTGAAGGAAGTAGCAGCGTCGCCAAAACCTTTCCCGCCAGCAGATGCAAAAACAACGACCAAAACTAAGGCGATGTGTTTGGGGGAAAATGATAGTGTTGCAGTCAATTCAGAGAACGTGGAGGGACAGCCATCAAAGGGTCACCTTTTGGGCCCTCTGCCATCCCTTCTCCATACACGGGCTAATAATAATATTAGCCTATGCAGGCCCAATAAAGAAAACACCTCAGGAGTCATTAAAGAGAAGATGGTCGGCCAATCTTTTAATTATTACAAAGCCCCAAAAAAGAAGTTCCAACAAAAGATGAAGGCAACTAAACCCACAATCATTCAGGAATGGCGTGCTAAAGGGCCTCTGCAGGATCTACGAATTAATTCCAGCATTTCTATTCCTTCTTCTTCTTCTTCAACTTTTTGTCAGCAGTCCCAATCCTTAGTGTCATTCTATGAAGCAGTCACGCATGAAACACCTGTGACACACTTAGAAGCTGATGACGAATCGGAAAACTTTCTTTCTGATGTTAGTGGTCTTCCTCAATAATTGGGCTGGTCCGATGCTGCCTCTACTGCATTACTTTGCTCAGAAACAGATTCATACACAGAGTCACTTTATCTACCATGGCACGATGATGAACATCTGGAATTACAGGGATTCCAACAAGGAATTCAACAACCTACAACAGTAGAAACCTCGAAATGGACCAAATTGGTGTTCGGTAAAGTATGCAAGGCGTCGGGATCAACGGTGCTGGATTTGAGCATGAAATTTTTGACTTAATCATGAGAATGGATCAGAAAAGACAGGTTCAACTACAACAAAAGGGATCATCCTCTTCAACTAGTAAGAAGGGGAAAGGGAGGAAAATGGGGAAACTGAGATCCAAAACTTAATATGAGGGAAGGAATAAAAAGGTAAGGGGCAGGCAAGACAAGACTCTTTCCAGATGAAAGTTAAAATTCTCAGCTGGAACATTAGGGGCCTCAATGACAGGGATAAACGGAGCACTATCACATCACTAGTTAGGAAGTGGAAACCTGATATTCTGTGTTTTCAAGAAACCAAAATGGAGAATATCCCAACCAATATGATTTACCAGATTTGGGGAAATAGGTGGGCTGAATGGACAGAGTTGAAGGCTACTGGCACTAGGGGTGGCATTCTTATTCTATGGGATAAGAGATCGTGGAGGTGTATTGACTCACACTAGGGGTGCTTCACTAATACATGCTTTCTTGAAAGCCTCCATGAGGACGTCAGATGGGGGTTTACGGGTGTCTATGGTCCTCACTCCAATGCTGAAAGGGAAGAATTTTGGCAGGAATTGGGATCAATCAGAGGTATTTGGGAGGAACAATGGGTTGTTGGAGGGGATTTCAACGTATGTATGTATGAATCTGAAAGATTGAATTGTTATAGAAGGACCAAAGCTATGAGATATTTCTCTGAAGCAATTGAGGACCTACAACTAATGGATTTTCCATTGCATGGAGCACAATACACCTGGTCAAGAGGGGAGGATATTTTCCAATCCTCAAGAATTGACAGGTTCTTGGTCTCCACAGAATGGAATGGAAGTTTTAGAGCCATCAAACAACTAGCACTTCCAAGAGTCATCTCAGATCACAAACCTTTATTGCTAGAAAGTGGAGAATGGGATTCAACATCATCTTACTTTAAATTTGAAAACATGTGGCTTCAAAGAGAAGGATTCATTGACATGGTGAAAGGGTGGTGGCAAAATTACACAATAAGTGGCAACCCAGACTTTGTGCTAGTTCAGAAGTTGAGGAGCTTGAAGAAGGACCTCTCCAAGTGGAACAAAGAAGTTTATGGCATGTTAGACACTAAGAGAAGCAGGGCCCTTGATGAACTCTTAGCCTTAGAACAAGCAACCGAAAGCAGAGCTCCAACTCAAGCAGAAAAACAAAGGTTTCTGTCTCTAAGACTGGAATTGAAGAGATTGCCAAAGCTAAAGAAATTTCATGGAGGCAAAAGTCTAGATGTTTATGGTTAAAAGAAGGGGATAGGAACACTAAATACTTTCAAACGTTGGCCAACTCTCATAGGAGATGCAACTCAATAGACAAGCTCAAGATAAACAATGAGATTACAGTTGATAAAGAATTGATCAAAGGGGAAATATTAAACTATTACCAATCACTATACACAGAGAAGGAAGAGTGGAGACCATCTTCCAACTTTGAAGATGTTGCCAGACTATCAGAGGAGGAAAGTGAAATGCTTGAAAAAGGTTTTGAGGAAGATGAAGTGTATGCTATCATTCAATCATGTGCCCCAGATAAAGCCCCAGGTCCAGATGGATTTACCATGGCCTTCTTTCAGAAGACTTGGGATTTCATTAAACCAGAGATTTTGGCAGCACTGAATCACTTTCATCAGCACTTTTACATGGAGAGATCATGCAATGCCTCTTTCTTTGCCTTGATACCAAAAAAGAAAAAAGGAGTTATTGAGCTTAGGGATTACAGACCAATATGCCTTATTGGTAGTATTTATAAGATTGTGGCCAAGGTGTTGGCAGAAAGACTGAAAAAGGTTATTGGAAAGCTGGCTTCTTCCCATCAAAATGCTTTCATTAAACACAGACAGATTACTGATGCAGCTCTCATTGCTAATGAAGTCTTGGATTGGAGGCTTAAAGCTAACACACCTGGTGTTATGTGTAAACTGGATATAGAAAAGGCATTTGATCAATTAAACTGGTCTTACTTGCTATCTATTTTGAGGAAGATGGGGTTTGGAGACAAATGGTTAAAGTGGATCAGATACGGTATCTCGACGGTCAAGTACTCAGTCTTAATCAATAGAGGTCCTGTTGGTTTCTTTTCACCTCAGAAAGGAATTAGGCAAGGGGATCCTCTTTCCCCTTTCCTATTCATTCTAGCCATGGAGGGTTTAAGTAAAATGATGGAAAAAGCCAGGCAAATGCAATGGATCCGAGGATTCAGTGTAGGCACAAACACTGGATACTCAGTCACTATCTCCCATTTATTATATGCTGATGACACACTGATCTTCTGTGAGGCAGATAGAGCCCAAATCTTGTACTTGAATCTTACACTCCAGCTATTCGAAACATTGTCAGTACTTCACATCAACAAGCAGAAAAGTATTATATATCCAGTCAATCGGGTGAGCAACATTGAGGAGCTGGCAGGGATCATCGGTTGTAGTATAAGGTCATTGCCTACCACCTATTTGGGGCTTCCACTGGGAGCCAAATTCAAAAGCAGTAATATCTGGAATGGTGCAGTGGAGAATTTTGAGAAAAGACTGGCTTCATGGCAACAACAATACCTCTCTATGGGAGGAAGACTCACCCTCATCAGTAGTGTGCTTGACAGTTTACCCACCTATGTCATGTCACTGTTTCCCATCCCTAAAAAGGTACTTAAAAGGCTGGACAAGATCAGAAGGGACTTTCTGTGGGAAGGAAACAGCAGTTCTCACAAGTATCATTTGATTAAATGGGATAAGGTATTGCTACCTAAATGCAAAGGTGGATTGGGGGTCAGAGATCTAGACAAGCACAACAAAGGTTTGCTAATGAAATGGCTCTGGAGATATGTCACATGTGAACCAAGTCTATGGAAAGAGGTGATTAATGAAAAACATGGGATTAAAGACAATTGGAGCGCCAAAACTGTCAGTGCATCTCATGGAGTAGGGCCCTGGAAGTATATTAGCAACCTGGGGAACGAATTCTTTCAGAATATTCATTTCAAATCAGGCAGTGGATGTCATATTAAGTTTTGGAAAGATAAATGGCTAAACAACAATGCTCTCATGGAGGACTATCCTAACTTATTCAACATCGCCTTGGACAAGAATTCTTCTATTGCTCATAACAGAGCAAATGGTCATTGGGATGTGCAACTCGGAAGATCTGTTCAAGATTGGGAGATAGAAGATTTGATGGAAATGCTAGCAAGATTAGAGGCCTACAACATTGATGAGAATGCTCCAGACAGTATGAGATGGGGACCTAAAGGTATCTATACTGTTAAAGAATGCTACATACAACTTAACAATCAGAATCAGGTACTGCATTCATGGCCTTGGAAACTGATATGGAAGACAAAGCTACCTGTGAAGGTGGCATGCTTCAACTGGATTGCACTTCACGAAGCATGCCTAACGCAAGATAACGTATGCAGAAGGGGATTTCAGCTAGTCAATAGATGCTACCTGTGCAAGGGACACCTGGAAACAGTTAATCACCTACTTCTACACTGTAGCCACAGACCTCTGGAACATGTTCTTTTGTATTTTTGGTCTAAGTTGAGTAATGCCACGGACCCTGAGAGAGGCACATATGAGCTGGAGTCTTTGGGAGGTTGATAAGATCATTAAGAAAATCTGGCTTATGATCCCTGCAACCATTTTTTGGTGTTTATGGAACGAGAGGAATAGAAGATGCTTTGATGACACCTCAACTCCAAACCACTTACTCAAATCTAAATGCCTGCTCAACCTTTTTTCCTGGACAAAGTTGTCCCCAATAAATAATACAGGACAACTTTTGGACTATATTAGCTCTCTTGTCCTAGATTGAGTTTTTGATTTGGGGCAAACAATGTTCTCCTGTAATTTTTTGTTTATGTAGCTCTTATGCTTCTTGTAACTTTGCATCTTCTTGATGCCTTCTTAATGAAACATATTACTTCATCAAAAAAAAATAATTAAAGAGAGAACTTCATAATCTGGAATGCGCTTTGCATTACTGGACAAATTTCCTTTGGTCATTCTATTGACAGTTGGGCCTGATGTAATCTACAGAATGTAAGGGGGGACAAGTCGTGTTATCTCCTGCATCTGCTTTATTGCATTAAGAAACTTTGGCTCATCTTTTTTTAAAATACTTTATTGTCCTTGCGGATGTGAAAGAACTCATTGCGATTTTTGTCGATAGTCAGGAAGAATGTTCCATGATGGGTACTTATAAGGATGATACCGCCAATTCACTATGTCCTCCTAGAGTTCGTGCAATGTTGGCATCACGTGCCTGCAAATCATCTATTGTTATTGGAGATCCACTTGGGAGAAATGAGATGCAAAAGGTATTTTTGTCCATTTTACCGTGGTCTTAAAATTTATGCTCATATCATAGTATCTTTGGTATCATCCTCTCTGCGTTGCACTTCTGCAATTGTCTAGCTTAATATAGAAGGGAAAAAAGGTAAAAAGAATTTTGGCCAAATACTATTTCTAGTTTCGAAGTGTTTGTTTGATAGTTTATGCCAAAAAAGCTATATTTTTTCTCCAAAACTCTGAAAAACATTTCATATTTCTGAAAACTTGGTTGAGAACAGCTATCAGGAGTTTTTGGCCAAAAATTGTTCTTCTTCCCTCTGGTTGTTTCATGACCCGAGATATAAAATTCATTGTTTCAGATACTTGACAATCTATCACGACTAAAGTCTCCGTGGAATTGTCCACATGGTAGACCAACAATGCGTCACTTGGTTGATCTGAGGACTGTACATAGAAGAATAGAAGCGGCTGAGAATGAGACCGCCTTATAAACTCCAGTTGGTAACACAGCCACCAAACTGAAGCGGGTACTTCTTTCTGTAAATTATTGGAAACATGTTAATCAAGGCTGCATTTTGCCTAGAATTATCAAAATGTCGAGGAATTAATTGAGAACACAGAAAGGGGTCTTTTGCTTTCCATCTACTTTGTAAAGTATAGAGACAATAGAGAAATCTCTCTTGTGTTGTATTCAAGAAGTAAAGAGTATATATACAAGTACATAGAGCCTTAACTATGGAAAGAATCAAAAAGGAAATCCTATAAATCTGCTGTGAATCCCTATAATTATGCTAGCTATGTATATTACATAAGATTATGTCTATATTCAGATTATGTCTACATTCATTATCTAACACTCCCCCTCAAGCTGGAGCATAGATATTGATCATGCCCAGCTTGTTACAAAGGTACTCAACTCGAATTCCATTCAACGCCTTTGTGAACAAATCAGCCGGTTGCTCTCCTGTCTTCACGTAGCCAGTGGAGATCAAGTTCTCCTGAATCTTCTCACGAATAAAATGGCAGTCAACCTCAATATGCTTAGTTCTTTCATGATACACCGGATTTGACGCAATATGGAGGGCAGCTTGATGGTCACACCAGAGTTTTGCTGGTATTGGATGCTCTAACCCAATTTCAGTCAACAGATGATGTATCCACATAATCTCACATGTAGACTGTGACATAGCTCTATACTCGGATTCTGCACTAGATCGAGATACAACACTTTGCTTCTTACTCCTCCATGATACCAAGTTTCCTCCAACAAGACACAATAACCTGTAGTAGATCTTCTATCAATTTTCGATCCAGCCCAGTCAGCATCTGCAAAACACTCAATATAAGTATGATTGTGATTGCTATATAATATGCCAAGTCCAGGAGCTCCTTTCAAGTAACACAAAATCTTTTCCAAAGCTGCCCAATGTTTGACCGTTGGTGCAGACATGAACTGGCTAACAACACTTACTGCAAAAGCAATATCTGGACGAGTCACAGTAAAGTAGTTTAATTTCCCAACTAACCTCCTGTATCTCTCTGAATCGTCAAAAGGATCACCATCATCTTTCATAAGATGCACATTAGGAACCATGGGAGTACTGCAAGGTTTAGCTGCCAACTTTCCAGTTTCTGCAAGCAAGTCAAGAATGTACTTTCTCTGAGACAAAAGAATTCCCTTCTTGCTTCTATTTACTTCTACTCCCAAAAAATATTTCAACTGGCCCAAGTCCTTTGTATGAAACCTAGTATGCAGAAAAGACTTGAGGGAAGAAATCCCAGCATAGTCACTTCCGGTGATAACAATATCATCAACATATACAACGAGGAGAATAGTGCCAGCTACTGATTTCCGATAGAAGACTGAGTGATCGCACTTACTCATTTTCAACCCAAACTCCTGAACTACCTCACTGAACTTGCCAAACCAAGCTCGTGGACTCTGCTTCAAGCCATACAAGGACTTCTTCAAATGACAGACTTTCCCATACTCCCCCTGAGCAACAAAACCGGGTGGTTGCTCCATATACACTTCCTCCTGAAGATCACCATGAAGGAACGCATTCTTGATATCCAACTGATGTAAAGGCCAATTCTCGGACGCAGCTAGAGAAATAAATAAGCGGACAGAAGTGAGTTTGGCAACCGGGGAGAAGGTGTCAGAATAATCCACCCCATAAGTCTGATCATACCCTTTCGCCACAAGTCTGGCCTTAAGTCTTGCTACAGAACCATCTGGATTAACTTTAACTGTAAAGACCCACTTGCATCCCACTGGTTTCTTTCCCGTTGGTAAATCTACCAAATCCCATGTGTGGTTGTCCTCTAAAGCATGTATTTCCTCAAGCATTGCATCAGACCATCCGGGATGATTCAAAGCCTCCTTCACTGTTTTGGGTACGGAGATGGAGTCTAGAGAAGCAATCATAGATCTAGACGTAGAGGATAAGTGGTCATAGGAAACAAAGTTAGCAACAGAATATGTCGATTTGCAAGTACGTGTACCTTTGCGAAGAGCAATAGGAAGATCAAGGTTATCTGGAGGATCAGGCAAAGAAGAATCAGATGATGCAGGAACTGGTGCGGGACATGTATCATTTGTCTCTCGCCTCCGCGAATAAACTTGAACAATTGGAGGTCTTGCTGGAGCAGGTACTGAAGGCATAATAGTCGATTGGTGCTCAATAGAAGAACTGGGAGATCGAAGAGTATCATCTGATTGTTCTGTCAAAGTACGGGTAACCTGATATACTAGCCACTCATCTTCCTCCCCCTGGCTTGTAGAAATGGGAGGTGCATAGAAGAATGGTGTAGTCTCTAAAAATACCACATCAGTTGACACTAAATATTTGCCAAGCTCAGTAGAATAACATCGATACCCCTTCTGAAGGCGAGAATAGCCCAGGAAAACACACTTCACAGCCTTGGGATCCAACTTGGTAAGAGATGGTCGAACATCTCGAACATAACATGTGCTTCCAAACACCTTAGGTTCCACCGGAAATAATGACTTATTCGGAAAAAGAACACTATAAGGCACATTACCATCGAGTACACTAGATGGCATGCGATTAATCAGAAAACAAGCCGTAGAAACCGCATCAGCCCAGAACTGTTTNTTATTGCCTCTGCGAAAGGCTTGCCCATGGCTGACATCATATTCTTAAAGTAGTCTGCTTCCTGGGCTTGAAGGAAAACAGTGACCATCTCTACCTCATCCATCAGTGGCTTCACTCTTGACGCCTGTTCGCGCCACTTAATTGCATATTCACGGAAACTTTCTGAGGGCTTTTTCTTTAGATTCGCCAAGGAGTTCCTGTCTGGCGCGATGTCTATGTTGTACTGAAATTGTCGAACAAAGTCTCGGGCCAGATCGTCCCAAATATGCCAACGCGAGACATCTTGGTCCATATACCACTCTGAAGCGATGCCAATTAAGCTTTCCCCGAAATATGCCATCAACAATTCTTCTTTGCCACCAGCTCACCGTAACTGATTGCAGTACTTCTTCAGGTGAGCAATGGGGTCGCCGTGTCCGTCATACTTCTCAAATTTTGGTGTTTTGAACCCTGACGGCAAATGTACATGCTGGAACATACAAAGGTCTGTATAGGAGACACTCTTTTGCCCACTCAAGCCTTGCATATTTTTTAAGCTCTGCTCGAGGCTTCTCATTCTATTTGCCATCTCATCCTGCTCCAGGGCTTTGGGGGTTTTGTCCCGCCCCGGTGTAACCTCGTATGGTGGCTGCTGAGAGTAGGTATATTGAGTATAATGAGTAAGGTCAGCCTGAAAGACGGGATTTTGGAATGTGAAGACTGAAGAGTTAACATTATGCTTGGGTAGTGATGGTTGTGTGGTTACTGAGCAGGGTGGAGCCGTGAAGATTTTAGGAGCAGGTCCAGACGGGAACACCTGGGGGCGAACCTCAGATGGTGTTCCGAAGAAATGAGCAGTTATGGTAGGTTGCCGCAAATGAGTGTTTGGGTGGCTGATGGGGACAGTAGTAGCACCTCCAGATCTAGGGAATAACTCCGGGAATCCGGGAATGGTACTTGGAGGTTCTTTTCCGTTGTTCCAAGCATCCCACGTTTCCATCAATCGCAGGCGCAAGATCCGGTTTTCTTCAGCAGTAAAAGACTCAGAAGCCGGGACCCCCGAGATGGGGCTGTCTTCGGGTATGGGGATTGCAGGCAGAGTCATTTCGGACGACATCTCTGTATTTCCTTTGGATCTGGTGAAATAGCGATGCGAGGCCAGCTTACCACAAACCAACCACTGTTTCTAAAATGCTCAGCTGGAAATGGACAGCAACAACGGTTAGTTTTGAAACAAATAACAGATAGGTAACCGCACATTGGAGTGTGATGCACCTATATAGTTAAATGAATATCTACATGTTAGCTTCGGTTGCATGCGTCATCCCGGCTTTTCTCTTGTTTCTTTTCTTTCTCTTTTTTTTATTTTCTCTCCTTTTCTTTTCCTCATCTCTCTTTGTTTTCATTTTCTGCTTTTCTTCTCTTTGGCCATGGTTTTTCTCTCAATGCCTTATTTCTTCTTTTGCGTTTCTTTTTTCTCTTGTTTTTCTTTCATTTATTTCCCTCGCGTTTCTCTTTTTCTCTTTTTCTTAGGATTACGCTCGAATCTTATGTAGATTGCCTATGTATCATGACCCCGCATGAATCAGACCAAGCGTAGTTCTTGAAAATAAATGCAAAAAGTAAGAAAACAAATTTTGGGATTTTCAATTTTCATTAATAACAACTGAGATTACAAAGCTACTAGAATATTTGTTTTTCTTTTCTTGGAAAAAGGAAATTACAAAAACCAGACTCAAAAGCAAAAATACAGACTCGATTAACTAAGAATACATCAAAGCTTCAAATCCTGGGGCCCGCGGGGCATCACTCGGCATAGCCGCGGGCCTGCGTGCAAGACCTTTTTGCAACCGATCTAAATCATTCATGACCCGGTGAACAAATATCATCACAGAGGCAAAGAACGTGGTACGACCCATCCGCTCACCGGCCTGACACTTCACGACAATATAGTTGGCAATGCTCTGATTCTTTCCCTGATTTGGCCCTTTTCTTGGAGTAGTCGACTTATCTGTTGGGTATGAGCCTCTAGCACCTGAGAATCCTGGAAGTGAAGGTCTTGTAACAATTTTATTTCCTTTTCCATCTCAGCGATTAACCCATAGCATTGTTCCCTCTCGGCCTGAAATTCTTTGTCCCGCCGGGCTGCCTTTTCTTCAAGAGTATTCATTTTTCTTTTCATTTTAGCAATGGTTCCCTCGTAGTTTCTCTTCATTTGTTGTACAAACTGGGCTTTTTCCTCAGTCTTCTTTGCCCATTGTGCTCGAAGTTTTTCCATGTTCCCCTCGGATTTCTCCAATTCTTCCTGACAGTCCAAGACTTGCTTCTTTAACCCTTTTATCAATCTCTCGTCGGATAGACTTCTTTCTTGATTCCTGGCATCTATTTTCATTTGTTGAATTTGGGCCTTGAGAGCTTCATTCTCCTGGCCAATTTCTTTTATCACCTTCATCGGTTGCGGCTTGCAAGCTGTTTTCAAACCGAAGCTCCTGAACCTGTTTTTCCAATGCTCCTATTCGGGCCCTGTACTCCTTTTCTTTGGCTAACCAATCCCATTGCACCTGGGCGTCGTTAGTGAATTGTTGTACATGTGACCTTTTGGCAGGTCTCTCAGGAATTTGAAATCTTTTACCAAATTAGAGCAAGTATTTGGTATCTACCTCGCCTCTGGCTCGGTCCTGTACTATAGTCTTAGGCTCAAGGTACCTGCACTCATTCCATATCTTTCGGATGCTGCCTTCAGGGAATACAGCCTTCGGGCCTAACTCGATGACTTGCCCACTCAGGTCTTCATCATTGTGCACTGTTTGGAATCTTCCAAATTATCGCAAGACTCGGTAAGGAGCATAAGGTTGTATGCTTCGAATACCCATCAAAAGAATATAAGAGACCTCTGCTGATGTGTATACAGCTTCAGTAGCAGGAAGCCATCCATAAGCCCATTCAACTTTGTCTGCGGTCAGGGATCTTAAGCATGACGACCAGGCCTCAGTACCCTCAGGGAACTCAATACCCGTCACCCGAGTCTCGAATTCTGCAATACAACTCAACCCGGTTAAACCGTAGTTCATATAGCCTGTGCGGTGACAGAGGTGTTCCTGCATCGACAACTGTAAGAGCAAATTGCAACCTTGAAAGAATTTCACACCTTCCCGACATTTGGTCAAAGCTCGGTACATTTCTGCTACAATCAGGGGAACCACTGTGCTAGTAGGTTTTTTCATGGCAACGTCTAGCTTCCCTACTAGGCCGAGGTCTATGTGACCATCTTTTCTCGGACAAATCACCACTCCCAAAAAGGCTACCATGAAGGCTAATCCCCGTCGGTCTTCCCATTTGTCTTTATTTCCGGCATGTGTCAATCCTGTGTTGGGTTCCTCGAAACCTTTGGGGTTACCATACCGGTGATATAAGAAATGCAATGTACAACACCCTTCCGCCAGGTGCGGGTCTTGAATATCCCGGCTGATGTTCAACAAATCCAAGAACCTATGAAGGGTTACCGGTCGTGGGGCCAATGGGTATCTACCTCGGAGGTTCCCGTTAAGACCCGCGTATCTCGCAATCTCTTCTAATGTAGGTGTGAGTTCAAAATCTGAAAACCGGAATACATTAGGGGTCGGGTCCCAAAATGGTATTAGTGCCTCAATGATATCCTTCCTCGGTTTGATGTTCAATAAATCTACGAGGCCGCCCAAACTTTTGACCACAGTATCTTTGCTTCCTTTTCCCAAATCATGCCACCACATATGGAGTTTCAAAGGGATCTCGCTCAGGACTGAGAAGGTTTCGATGTTACTTGAATTCATCCTGCACATTTATTTAGGGGAATTTAATGATTTATTTTGAAAAATGGCTATTTGTGCAAAAATTCTTTATTTAGAAAACAAGGACTTGGATTTTTAAATACAGCCTTTCAGCACTTCTGGGAGGAAGATTTTAAGGCTGTGCCCGCAAACCATTTAAAAATGACTCAGGGTGGCTGTTCTTGCAAAAACAGCCTTCCGGCGTCCTTTTAGGGACATTCGGCTTAGTTTAGACAAGAATGGCATCACCCGACTTATTTATGACAAAAATTAAAGATTTGACATTTTGGCTATTTTTGCAAAAGGGTGGTTGGACCCGATGAGGGTTGCCTACGTATCTCACATTCGGTGAGANATACCAGGTTTCCTCCAACAAAGACACAATAACCTGTAGTAGATCTTCTATCAATTTTCGATCCAGCCCAGTCAGCATCTGCAAAACACTCAATACGAGTATGATTGTGATTGCTATATAATATGCCAAGTCCAGGAGCTCCTTTCAAGTAACACAAAATCTGTTCCAAAGCTGCCCAATGTTTGACCGTTTGTGCAGACATGAACTGGCTAACAACACTTACCGCAAAAGCAATATCTGGACGAGTCACAGTGAGGTAGTTTAATTTCCCAACTAACCTCCTGTATCTCTCTGGATCGTCAAAAGGATCACCATCATCTTTCATAAGATGCACACTAGGAACCATTGGAGTACTGCAAGGTTTAGCTGCCAACTTTCCAGTTTCTGCAAGCAAGTGAAGAATGTACTTTCTCTGAGACAAAAGAATTCCCTTCTTGCTTCTATTTACTTCTACTCCCAAAAAGTATTTTAACTGGCCCAAGTCCTTTGTATGAAACCTAGTATGCAGAAAAGACTTGAGAGAAAAAATCCCCGCATAGTCACTTCCTGTGATAACAATATCATCAACATATACAACAAGGAGAATAGTGGCAGTTACTGATTTCCGACAGAAGACTGAGTGATCGCACTTACTCATTTTCAACCCAAACTCCTGAACTACCTCACTGAACTTGCCAAACCAAGCTCGTGGACTCTGCTTCAATCCATACAAGGACTTCTTCAAATGATAGACTTTCCCATACTCCCCCTGAGCAACAAAACCGGGTGGTTGCTCCATATACACTTCCTCCTGAAGATCACCATGAAGGAACGCATTCTTGATATCCAACTGATGTAAAGGTCAATTCTCGGACGCAGCTAGAGAAATAAATAAGCGGACAGAAGTGAGTTTGGCAACCGGGGAGAAGGTGTCAGAATAATCCACCCCATAAGTCTGAGCATACCCTTTCGCCACAAGTCTGGCCTTAAGTCTTGCTACAGAACCATCTGGATTAACTTTAACTGTAAAGACCCACTTGCATCCCACTGGTTTCTTTCCCTTTGGTAAATCTACCAAATCCCATGTGTGGTTGTCCTCTAAAGCATGTATTTCCTCAAGCATTGCATCAGACCATCCGGGATGATTCAAAGCCTCATGCACTGTTTTGGGTACGGAGATGGAGTCTAGAGAAGCAATCATAGATCTAGACGTAGAGGATAAGTGGTCATAGGAAACAAAGTTAGCAACAGAATATGTCGATTTGCAAGTACGTGTACCTTTGCGAAGAGAAATAGGAAGATCAAGGTTATTTGGAGGATCAGACAAAGAAGAATCAGATGATGCAGGAACTGGTACGGGACATGTATCATTTGTCTCTCGCCTCCGCGAATAAACTTGAACAATTGGAGGTCTTGTTGGAGCAGGTACTAAAGGAATAATAGTGGATTGGTGCTCAATAGAAGAACTGGGAGATCGAAGAGTATCATCTGATTGTTCTGTCAAAGTACGGGTAACCTGATATACTAGCCACTCATCTTCCTCCCCCTGGCTTGTAGAAATGGGAGGTGCATAGAAGAATGGTGTAGTCTTTGAAAATACCACATCAGTTGACACTAAATATTTTCAAGCTCAGTAGAATAACATCGATACCCCTTCTGAAGGCGAGAATAGCCCAGGAAAACACACTTCACAGCCTTGGGATCCAACTTGGTAAGAGATGGTCGAACATCTCGAACATAACATGTGCTTCCAAACACCTTAGGTTCCACCGAAAATAATGACTTATTCGGAAAAAGAACACTATAAGGCACATTACCATCGAGTATACTAGATTGCATGCGATTATTCAGAAAACAAGCCGTAGAAACCGCATCAGCCCAGAACTGTTTAGGAACCTTCATTTGGAACAAAAGTGCTCGAGCTGTCTCAAGTAGATGCCTATTCTTGCTCTCAGCAACTACATTTTGAGAGGGTGTATCAACACATGAAGACTGATGTAATATACCATGTTGTCTCATGTAGGACTGAAATAACTCTGACATGTATTCTTTAGCGTTATCACTCCTTAGAGTACGTACTGAAGCATTGAATTGAGTTTTGACTTCAGCACAAAAGGCAGAAAAATGAGTAAACACTTCAGAGCGGCTCTTCATAAAGTAAATCCAAGTCATTCGAGAAAAATCATCTATAAAAGTGACAAAATACTTATGCCCAGTTTTAGAAACGACCGGACATGGTCCCCAAACATCAGAATGGACCAACTCAAAAGCTGACTCAGCTCGCTTATTAACCCTTGGACTTAACGAGATGCGATGGTGTTTTGCAAATCGACATGACTCACAATCCAATGATGAAATATTCTAAAACTAAGGACAGAGCTTCTTTAACAAAGGCAAAGAGGGATGTCCAAGTCGACAATGTGCTTCAAAAGGAGACACAATACTAGAGCATGCAACAGACCATGGCTCCCATTCATCAAGAATGTAGAGATCACCAGATATATATCCTTTACCAATAACCTGCATCGTCTTAAGATCTAAAAACAAACAATGATCGGGAAAGAATGCAACACAATAATTAAGGTCTTTGGTAATTTTACTAACAGAAATCAAGTTAAAGGCCAAGCTTGGTAGACTTAATACAGATGACAGGAGGAAGTTGGTTTAATAGTCCCAGATCCAACACTGCTACAAGTTGATCCATCAGCTACAGTAACCGGAGAGGGTGCTTTATGTGAGCGAAAGCTAGAAAAAATATTTGGATTACCTGTCATGTGATTTGTAGCACTAGAATCGATCACCCATTTATTGGAAGAGGTGATAAGATATGTTTTATCTGACCCAGCAAAGGCAGTAACTGAAGAAGATTCCTTAACTGATTTATGATATTGAAGGAATTTTAGAAACTCATCCGAAACCAAGATTGTTGGACTAGGAGTTGTTTCATTATTATTCTTTACCATCATTTTTTTTCTTTCAATAACAAACTGACTAAACTAACAGAGGTTCCCGAAGCTAAAAGATACTCAAACAGATCCTGGTAGATACGAAATCAACAATCTATTATGCAAGCTTCTCACCAGTCAATTACTCAGATAACTAAACAGACCCAAAAATATGCTCCAACAAATCAGAGAAGTAGTCTGATCCAAGAGGAAACTCTCCAAACAACAGCACTTACCAAATCAGACAACTAGTCAAAGAAAGGAAGTAGAAAGGAATGGTCTAACCAGGTTTGGCCAACGAAATCAGCTGGACAAAAAATTTGACTCCACGTGTTTGCCGACGAAATTCTGCCAGAAAGTTATCAGTGGCGCGTGAACTGTTACTTCAAAAGTTTGCAGAAATTTCGGCGTGGCAGTGAACAAGTTCCGGTAAAGCGCCAGACAAACTCCGGCTAGGCAGCGGACAAATTCCGGCGAGCTACAAGCTCGGCTCTGATACCATGTAAAGTATAGAGACAATAGAGAAATCTCTCTTGTGTTGTATTCAAGAAGTAACAAGTATATATACAAGTACATAGAGCCTTAACTATGGAAAGAATCAAAAAGGAAATCCTATAAATCTGCCGTGAATCCCTATAATTATACTAGCTATGTATATTACATAAGATTATGTCTATATTCAGATTATGTCTACATTCATTATCTAACAGTTTTATACATTCCTTTTTTCGTTTTTGTTTAAAGAACGATCTTTATTACTTACCTTTCTTGCAAACACTTTATCTTGTTCCTTTAACGGTGTTTATTTCTTTGTTTGTTCGATTTTCTCCATTTCCACAATGAGCAGGAGGTTTAATTAACTGATTGAGTGGATTCTCAAGTTACACTTCCTTGAAATGCGCGAGTATGGAAGGCTGAAATACTGTGCCAAAATTCTTGCCAGAAAGAGAATTTATTGCGTCAACAGTCATATGAAGAGTCAATGAACCAAAGCCTTGATCTTAAATTAATTAAAATCTGTTAAGATAATAATATAAAACAAGAAAATAGACAAGAATGTAGGGAGCAGGAGATGAGAGATTCTTATTGAAATATGTACAATGTGATGCCCAAACCCTCTATTTATAGGATGATATTTAGGTAATACAAAGGGATGTCATGGTAAATTTTGAGATAATGGGGAAAGATGATGGAGGAGGTTATGGAGGTGGGAGTTACAACCATAATGGTAAGGAGTAGTGGGAGGTTAATATAGAAGATTAGGGATAGCTTAGCTGGTAAAGGCCTGAGAACAAAGTCCTTCAGGTCGCCAGTTCGAGCCCCCGCAGGGCCACTGGAGGCATTACAAATCGGCCGCGTCTCCAAGGCCCCGTGGAACTAACCGTGCACCCGCATTGAAACAGCGGGACCCGGTGGGTACAGCTAGTCAGGTTCGCAAAGCGATGCCCGGAAACCATGGTTAAAAAAAATAAAAAAATAAGGTGTATTAAAAATGAGTAGTATTTTAAGTAAGTTGAGACAATTCTTAATTATGTGGGTAATTGGTTAATTATTGGGTAATGGGATATTACTAATTAATTAGGGGTATATGTGATAGTGACTAAATGTGGCAGCCCCTCCATTTAAAGTAAGTGACTAATGATCTTAATTGAAAGGTGGCATCATAAGTAACAAAGTAAGTCATGTAGTATTTGGCTTCATTGGACTTAAAGAAACAAAGTAAGAGATCTTATAACATTTTTCCTAATTCAAACATTTCAAGCTGACGTCCCTCAATCTAGCAAGTTTCTGTAAGAAATCTTATAACACCTTCCTAATTCAAACATTCAAGCAGACGCAATAATCTAGCAAGTTTCAACAAAATTTCTTGCAACAAAACAATTCCAACAAGAATTATTGAAATAATAGCAACGTAAAATTTTGCGGTTCTAAAGGAGTACAGTGCAACCTTTTTCAAGAATATCATACGGATTTTTCCCTCCTCCAAGTATGTTAAGGCTAAGCCCTTTCTTCATTTTGGCATGATCTCGTAATTACACGAGTTTGATAATGACGCATAAAGAAAAATTCATATCCCGAAATTTACGTATATTTTCCTAGTCTTGTAAGTTATAATATTCTCCTTATCGGGACTTCATATTCAATTGAGTATTTCTTTTTTTTTTTCAGTCATGAGAGCAGAGAATTTATTTATACAGTATTACAGTATTTTCATTACCATCAAGCTATAATCGATGGGCAGGCCCCTATTGGGCAACCTTTGATCAGATGGTAAGTTATATACCGAGCCTACTGTGGCTGAGCGCCTATGAGCGAGCCCAGTTGGTCGAGATACATAGCCTAATATGGCCGAGTGCCTATGAGCGAGCCTACTACGACAGAGCAGTTATATATATATATATATATCCCGAGCCTTATAGGGCCGGACAACTATTTTGCTTGCTATATTGAGAGAGTTGAGTCAGTATCACCAGGTAAGCATATGTTCAAATTATCAGTTCAGTTTCAGCTTTCTATATATTGCCTTACATACTCGGTACATTATTTTGTACTGGCATCCCTTTCTAGGGGCACCGCATTTCATGCGTGCAGGTTCAGACAGACAGACGGGTAGACCTCCTCAGTAGGTGTTTCCGGAGTTCAACTTTATTGGTAAGCTCCCCGTCCTTCGGAGTTGTCGGGTCTATAAGTTTTGTGTATATCTTGTTTATGTATGTAGATAGGTTATGGGTAGGTCGGGGCCCTGTTCCGGTCACCGTACATCCATCAGTAGAGGCTTGTAGACATATCCTGTCAGTTAGTGCAGTATATTGGGCTTGTAGGCCCTGTACGTATATTTTGTTGGCTTGTCAGTTATAGTAGTTACCGACCCAGCTTTATGTTAATAGTTAGCGTTAGTCTCTATTCAGTTTTATATTTTGCTTCGCAAATTGTCTTGCAATGTGGCCCCTGGCCAAAGTATGACATTATATGTCCAGAATTCTTGAGTCGCAAGTTGGTACGCAAGGATAGATGAGGCACCGGGTGCCGGTTTTGCCCCCCAAGCTCGGGGCGTGACAAAAGTGGTATCAGAGCAGTTCTTTCCTAGGGAGTTTACAAGCCGTGTCTTGTAGGGTCTTGTTTATAGATGTGTGGTGCACCACATTATATAAGTAGGGGACTACAAGGCATTTAGGCTTGGTTACCCTTCTTTCAAATCTAAATCGTGTTGTAGAACTGAGTTATTGGAAATTTGAGTTAAACTTACGTGTTGGCGTTTGCATGCACAAATGACGATAACTAGGAAGGCTACGTCTGGCCAGAGGAGAGAGACAACAATACCGGCTCCTCCGTCACCTGAGGAGATTCCTAGGGAGACCGTACATCCAGTTCTCCCTTCGCTTCTATCAGATCAGGACTTGAGGAGAGCGGTGTATTTGTTGGCACGGTTGGTAGCTACCCAGCAACAGGCTAGGGCATCCGCTAGTGCAGGACCTTCTGAGGGATCTGAGAGTTCAAGGGTCCGAGAGTTTATTGCTTTGGGTCGCCCAGAGTTCACTGGGACAGATCAGAGGTATGACTCGCAGGATTTCATAGATCAGCTTCACAGGATCTTTCGGGTTATGCATGTTACGGAGAAAGAGGCAGTTGAGCTAGCAGTTTTTTGACTCAAAGATATAGCCATCCTTTGGTACGAGGGATGGGAAAGATCCAGGGGACGTGATGCACCTCTCGCTATTTGGGAGAATTTTTCAGATGCCTTCCTTGACCAGTACTTACCGTGGGAGATCCAACAGGCCCGAGTCGATCAGTTTCTAGCCCTCAAGCCGGGCAATATGAGTGTTCGAGAGTATAGTCTCCGTTTTGACTCATTGGCCAGATATGCACCATCCATAGTTGCTACTATGCGGGACAGGATCCACAGGTTTATAGCAGGGTTGGCCCCAGATTTGACCGAGGCATATGCCACCGCTGCATTACAGGATAGTATGCATATCTCCCGGATTCATGCATTTTCCTAGAATGTAGAAAGGGGTAGGCGTCGGCAGTAGAGTACGGAGAGGATTGAGTCAGCGCAATGTAACAGGATGAGATTTGCCAGATCTCAGGAGCAGTCTCAGGGTAGTTATAGGCCCCAGTACTTCGAACGGCCACCTAGGCCTCCGCCACCCCAGTCACAGGGTTACAGGTATGGCCGTTATATTCAGTCAGGACCAGGTGAGAGCTCCCAGGCATCAAGTTTGCAGCGATAACGAGGTTCGGGGTAGATATGGCCATTTTCTCCGCGGTGTGCCATCTGCGGTAGAGGACACTTGGGCCAATGTCGAGCTGGTTTAGATGCTTGTTATACATGTGGACGTCCGGTGCATTTGATGCGAGATTGCCCAAATAGAGATTTTGGGGGGTGTCGCAACCAGCGAATTCAGCAATAGGATCATCTATGTCAGTGCATCCTTCAGGGCGCGAGTCTCAGTCTTCGACTGGTAGAGGTTGAGGCAGAGGTAGAGGTTCCAGTTCAGGTGGTAACCAGAATCGTAGCTATGCGTTAGCGGGTCGACAGGACCATGAGTCTTCACCAGACGTTGTGACAGGTACGTTGACCATTTGATCTCTTGATGCTTATACCTTGTTAGACCCAGCATCTACTTTATCGTGTATTACCCCATTTGTCGCGAGGAAATTTGGCATAGTGCGTGAAATACTAAGTGATCCTTTTGCGGTATCTATACCCCTAGCCCAACCCGGGAACGAACCGGAGGGAACCGCAGCATGGGGAATGTCCGCGTCTTGTCGCAAGGCTCATTTTGAGTTGTGGCTCATAAGGCGGAGTACGCATCCAGTCAGCACATAGCGAATGAAAAAAGCCTCATGTCTATAGTCAGTTGCTAAGATGATTCCCATTCAAGCATTCTCATTCAATGTCAATGCTGCCTTATTCTAGGGCATGTAGCATAGAAAAACCTTCGCCGCCATGATCCGCAGGGGAACAGATCACTCATTCTTCCATTGGGGACAGGTGCACGAAGATAAAAGGGCATTCTTCAGAGTGAAAATGAACCAGACAAAGGCCCTTCTCTCCGTGATCAACTTCCTTTCGTAGTACCCATACCCCTAGGGGAATTCGAATCCCCGCTCGATTCGATTGTTTTCCAAGAATGCTGAGCCGGGTATGTAAGCCATGTATCTGGGAGGAACTTAAATAAAAGAAGGGCTTTCGGTTTTTTGCACCCCGTTTTGGTCTTGCAGCTATTTTTAAAATATATATATATATATATATATATATATATATATATATATATATATATAAGAATCCCTTTTTTAGAAGAAAGATTATATATATGTCCAATCTCTAGTGGTTGGTTCCAAAGTAAAGGATGCTTCCAGAAACCGTCTAGGTTCTTCCTAGGAAGATTCCTTCTTTCTATCCTATTGAGAGGATGATCCCTGGCCATCACCTGTGGTGTTAGATCAGAAAGGTGACCACATCTAGTTTCGAGGTTGGCCTAACCTAACTTGATTACACACTTATAGAGTTTTACGACCTGAAATGCTGCGTAAAGCGTCTTTCTTGCTCGGTGATCAGTCAATGAAGTCATTCTGGGGTCGGAGAATCTATTATTGCTAGACGGGTTTACCGAGGTTGTACGGTGTCAGTTTGTGGTCGTCAGACCTCGGCCGACCTAGTTGAGCTAGAGATGTTGGATTTTGGTGTTATCATGGGCATGGACTAGTTGGCAGCTTGCTATGCCACAGTTGATTGTCGAGCAAAGATAGCTAGATTTCATTTTCCAGGTGAGCCCGTCCTTGAATGGGTAGGTAATACAGCGACACCTAGAGGTAGGTTTATTTCCTATCTGAAGGCGAGGAAAATGATCGCAAAAGTGTGCATTTATCATATTGTGCGAGTTAAAGATGCAGATGCTGAGATACCTACACTTCAGTCAATTACAGCAGTCAAAGAGTACACAGATGTATTTCCAGATGAACTTCCAGGTATTCCTCCAGAGCGAGAAATTGATTTTGGCATCGATTTGCTTCCGGGAATGCAACCAATATCCATCCCTCTGTATAGAATGGCATCTGCCGAATAGGAGTTGAAGGAGCAATTAAAAGATTTGCTGGAGAAAGGTTTCATGAGACCCAGTACCTCATCTTGGGGTGCACCGGTACTATTTGTACGGAAGAAAGACGGCTTGCTGAGGATGTGTATCGATTATAGGCAACTGAACAAGGTAACTATTAAGAATAAGTATCCACTTCCAAGGATAGACGACTTGTTTGAGCAGTTGCAGGGAGCTAGATGCTTTTCAAAGATAGATCTGAGGTCGGGTTACCACCAGGTCAGAGTTCGGGAGAAAAATATTCCAAGACAGCTTTCAGGACCCGATATGGCCACTTCGAGTTCCTTGTCATGTCCTTTGGGTTGACGAATGAACCTGCCATATTTATGGACTTGATGAATAGCCTATTCCGGCCATATTTAGATCTGTTCGTGATAGTCTTTATTGATGATATTCTGGTTTATTCACGTTAAGAGGATGAGCATGTGGACCACCTGCAAGCGGTACTCCAAACCCTCCGTGATAGTAAATTATATGCTAAGTTTTCTAAGTGTGAGTTCTGGTTGAAGTTTGTAACATTCTTAGGGCACGTTGTATCCGATGGAGGTATAAAGGCAGACACTCAGAAGATTGTGGCTGTGAAATCCTGGCTTAGACATAGGGGTGGGCATAAAATCCGAAAAATCGAATTACGAACCGAACCGAATTAATTTGGTATTTCGATATTTCAATTTATTTCGGTACAGAAATTTCGGTATTTTGTTAATTCGGTTCGGTATACGGTATTGGTTTTTTGATATTTCGGTATTTTGGTATACCGAAATACCGAAATAGTTTACTCCAAGCCCAACTTTTTTTTTTAGCCCAATAACCTTAAGCCCATACCCCAAAAGTCCAAATTCTAATACGAATTTCCAGAGCTCAATCAAGACGGGATGAAAACTTGTTTAAATGTCAATTTTACGGTCCTTTCATGAATATTTTATGAGTTTTGATACGAATTATTTATGAATTTTTGTTACGGTCCTTTCATAATTATTTATGAATTTGTCTTACCGCTCTGTTGCCTCTTTGTTGTATTCATTCTTCCTTCCCTCTCTCCCACATTTTCCAATCCCGTCTTAATTACTTCCCAATGGTCAATCTTTCCATATAGAAAACATTGACATTTAAACAAGTTTTCAGTGGTTATAACCAAATCTGCTTTTCAGAAGTCGTATTTAGAGTTCGGGGTTAATAATTGGGTATTCTTAAAGGTGTCACCTAGGAAGGGTGTGATGAGGTTTTGTAAGAAATGCAAACTTAGCCCATGTATTGGGCCTTATAGGATCATTCGGAGAGTGGGCCAAGTAGCTTATAAGTTATAATTGCCCTCGAAATTGGAATCTGTCCATCCGTTTTTCACATATCTATGTTACGAAAGTGCATTGGCGATCCTACCCGAGTGGTGCCCACGGATGATGTACAGATTACAGAGGACTTATCATACAAGGAAATTCCGATTGCAATCCTAGACCGACAAATCGGCAAGCTACAGAATAAAGAGGTAGCTTCCATGAAGGTCTTATGGAGAAGCAAGAATGTGGAAGAGATGACATGGGAAGCGGAGGAAGAAATGAAGTCTAAATAACCCCGCCTATGTCAAACTGAAGATATGACTCGAGGTGGGTGACAGAAAGGAAAACATTTTTGGTTGAGCCTCGACCTCAAGAACAACAGAGATATCATTTCGATGGGGAAATAGAGAATGGGATGGAAACTTGGTTGCAAATTTTCAATCTTAGCTGGGATGTCCCTCTACCCTTTACCTCGTTCCTTAGGGATTTTGTTAGTTTGCTTGTGTAGACCTACCGCAAGCCAAATCAGAAGTAAATAGGGAGGTGCTTGATGGCAGGCTCAGCCGCTCAGGGGAATCCAATCTAAACTTTTGCAAAATTTTCAATCATCATATGGAGGGTGGTCAGAATATTTAAAGAGTAATCTATCAACTTCACTGCTGGCTATAGTCACCTGAGAGTGACTTTGCAGTATTATGTGAAATGGGAGGGACGAGTACTCAGAACATTTTTGTTATTGTTGATGTACGAGGTTAATGTAATTGAACTTTCTTTATCCTGCAGTAAATTTTTTCCTCTTTAATATACCATCTAGGGTTCAATTGCCAAAGATGTCGACCCTGTCAAAGAAAGTTCAAAGCCAGGGAGATCTAGTGTATTTGCTAAACGTGGTGCACAAGCAGCGGCACTGCATCTTAATAAGAAGCCAGCTTCAAGTGTTGAGGCCGATATAACTGGCGGTTCAACGATTAGTTCTCATGCTCAGCCCAAGCAGGAGGCATCTACTGCCTCGTCAAAAAACTACACTTTCAGAAAAGGTAATTGTTGCTCTCATAGCGAGAATGCTTTTTAAGGTCTCTCTCTCTCTCTCTCTCTCTCTCTCTCTCTCTCTCTCTCTCTCTCTCTCTCTCTCTCCCTCCCTCCCTCCCTCCCTTTGACAATGACACAAAACATCATTTCATATTTTATATATGTTGGGTTAGAAAATATCCTGTTGTGGTGGAAGTTAATGCTAGGACCTGTCATTTTGAGAGGTGACAGAGTGAAGTATGTTGGATCTTCATCAGGCTTTTCTCTGCTGCAAACACCTTTAAGGTAAGTGCAATAAGTTCTGTTAAAAATCTTTTTCCTGTGAGATGTTAGTTCAGTTCTCTCATTGATTCTTATATATGCTATGCTTGAGGTTGCATTTTGAATCATTTCCATCTGTTAACTTACTGTTTAATTGTGATGTCTTATTCAAGTCTTCATATGGANTTGAGGTAGACTGATTTAATACATAGTTTAGATAGAAGCTCGAATCAGGCCTGCCTGCTGGTTGTAGCTGATAAAATCTGATTCAGTTTATAAGTTTATCCTATGGCTTGCCTAAGTGTTAGACGAAAAACCCTATAGGCATGATATCTACAAATTTCAGAAATAAGGATATGAGATGATTACATACTGATTGTCAGTTATTAAAGAAGGGCGAGTTTTAGCAAAAAAGATCATAAGTTCTGCAACTGGTAAGGCATTATTATTGCTGGTTTTAATTTAGTCAATTTTGTAATTGAGTTAGTGGTTGCTTATTAGCCCTAGTACTCTATCTATTTATTTGTATGAATTAAGTGGTCTTATGTGCCTATGAAAGATCTTCCATAGTCCACTTTCTGAAATTACGACTCTGTATAATCTGTAATATCTTCAAAAGTTTCATGGAACCATTATGGGCCAAATTTTATTCAGAAGGTCCAATTAGAGATAAAAATTTGAACTTCTCTTATAACACGCTTAAATCATAATTTCTGTTTGATTTATGTAATTTAAAGTGCTGTGAACAGGTTAAAACATTTGAAATCTTTTGATTCCTTACCTTAGCCTTATCCTTTCTCTAAATGTGAAAATAAAATAGGAACATGGGTATAAACATTTTAGTCATGAAAGGCTTATAAATAGTTTTGAAAGTACCTTATTGAAAAACAATAAAATTTAAATGTTTTGGATAATATCGGTATATATGAGCACTTAATGCTGTATTTCTTTAATGAGGTTTTTTTCTGCACCAAGGATTCTTAATTATGACTCCTTTGTGCTTTATATGGCAATACTACTATAGGGATTAAAATGGTTTTTTCTTGTTATTCTTTGTGCACATAATGGATTGACTTGTTTAGTTAATATTCCCTTTATTCATTGTGAACAGAATGCTCTATGTCTCTATTGGATTTGTCAGTAACTCCTTTATTTTCAAAATCACGTCATCAACACACATGATTGCAGGGGTCCAACATATGGTTATAGGGGCAAAGTGGTTCTTGCATTTGAGGAAAATGGGTCCTCTAAAATTGGTGTCAGATTTGATAAATCAATCCCAGAGGGTAATGATCTTGGTGGTCTGTGCGATGAAGATCATGGGTTCTTATGTGCTGGTAATACTCTACTGCCTCATTTAACTCATGGTCCGCTTTTGTTGCCCGGCTCAGTTATGACGAATAACAGAGCATGTCTTTTCGGTGGCCTGATCTTTTTTTCTTCCACAGCTAACTTGCTCCGCCTTGATAGCTCAAGTACTGATGAAATTGATAAACTTGCTATCAATGAACTCTTTGAGGTATTTGCTAATATACCTCTCGGTGATACTATTCCATTTCAGAGTCGAGTGTCCTTAGTTTATTTACTATGTTTTATATATGTAGGTTGTTTCAAATGAAAGTAAAAGCAGTCCTCTAGTTTTGTTCATCAAAGACATTGAGAAGTCTATGGTGGGAAACCCTATGCTGCTTTCAAGATTAAGCTCGAACATTTGCCAGATAATGTTGTTGCCATAGCATCCCTTACCCAGTCCGACAACCGAAAGGAGAAAGTATGTAGTGACGGTTATTTTCGCATTCCTTCAGGATAAAGAAATTGGCTTGTGATTCTGATTGCCTTACCTTATGCTTTACAGTCGCATCCTGGTGGCCTGCTATTTACGAAATTTGGAAGTAACCAAACGGCATTGCTTGACCTTGCCTTCCCAGTATGTACAACTTTCTTTCCCATTGCCTTTTCTTTTGGTTTTTCTATTTCTTGTTCTCGGTGTTGTACCTAAGAATTTCGATGGAATGTAAATATCCACGTCTGAGGGGGCTGACACTATGGATTCCCTAAGTCTTTCCAATTGGTCATTAAGAATTGTATAGTTTGGGAGCATACAATACAAAACAAACTTTTTTCCTCATGATATAATATGTTATGGTCTAGGGTTTCAAAGGTGGGTGTCAATTGGGTTTTCAGAAAATGGCTACCGGACTTACCCAACCTACCAAAACCCATTTAATTGATTTCCTCATACTTTGTTCTTATACAATGTCCCCAAGGGCCAGCTAATGCGTGGCTCGAAACATGGTGGATGATGGGGCTATCCCTCTACCCTTGTCCACTTAAATACTAGGCTTTTGTTTGCGGTTGGTTTGAACCTGTAACATGCGCCTAACCCACACATCACATGTTGTGTTCTTGTGTTCTTACCCCGGGGGTCCTATTCCTATCCATTTTTCTCATCTTTTAATTTCCCAAACTACTTTTACCCATCCATGTCTCTTATATTTGTGTGTGTGTGTCTGAAAAATAACTTTCTGATGGCAATTTTTTTTTGTGTGTGTGTGTATGATGTGTACACATTAGTTATCTGAATGTATACTTGTCGGAAGTAATCTACACAGGCCTTACCCAACCTACCCACGCTCATTTAACCCATATCCTTATTCTTTCTTCTTATACTACACAAATATCTCTATCTTATTCATTTTGTACCAGATATACCTTTCCACAGAGGCGGATCCAGAATTTGATGGCTGCGGGTGCCACCGGATTTAATGTAAACTTATCACTAATCAAAGGGATTAAATTGGGATGTAAATTTGATCGACTCATTTTGTATTAATTCACTTCCTTTCGATTCGATCCATTTTGAAATTACTTCGGTTTTCTTTACAAAAATTTTGATGCATAAATACCTAGATGGTAACCATACTAAAAAAGTTTGTCTTTTTTTATCAAGGAAAAATAAATTAGATGGATAAAAAAGAAAAATAACTAAAATTAAATACAAATAAAATTTTTGTGATCTAGATACTAGAAAAAAAACAGATATAACTTATAATTTAAGAAAATAATAAAAATATAATTGCACAAAGAGAGTTACAAAGGTGAAAAAAGTAAAAGAAATTAAGAAAAAGACAAGAAAAAGGAAGATAAAAAGGGGTAAGTAGAATTGGAATGCTAAAAGCGTGAAATGAGTGTCGATCACAGGTATTTTGGCTGAAAAGCTGGCCCTCAAACCATGGCACCCACAACAACTTTTGTTAATCCGGGTGCCACTTGTTGTTTATCTATGTTCTTTTGCATGAAATGTCAGTATACACAGGAAATTTTACCCGAGCAACCGGGTGGCGGACCACCCCTTCTTGTCTACACAGATCCACCCCTGTTTCCACTATTACCAAATCTCATATATTTCAATCACCAAAACTACTATCACCCACCAAAACTAATGTGTGTATGATGTGTACACATTAGTTATCTGAATGTATGCTTGTCGAAAGTAATCTACACAGGCCTTACCCAACCTACCCACGCTCATTTAACCCATATCCGTATTCTTTCTTCTTATACTACACAAATATCTCTATCTTATTCATCTTGTACTAGATATACCTTTTCATTATTATCAAATCTCATATTTATTGACTTATTATTCTTTATTTTTGGGGCATGATTTCAGGAGAAAACATCGGCAGTTGCAGAGAACAGGCCAACTCCGGCGTTGCATAGTAGTGTAGACATCCGTCCACTTAACATGGATGATTTTAAGTATGCACATGAACAGGTACACAATTGCACGTACTGTGGTTAATCTGATTTTTGTGCCATGCATTCTACTTTCTCTGCAGAGTATTTGGGGTTCAGGAGAAATGTTAGTAGGCTTTATTTACTGCCAAGAAAAGTTTTTAGTAGGCTTTATTTACTGTCAAGAAAAGTTTGGGACTTTCTCATGGATCTTTCTGATATCACACTGTTGCAGATTTTCTAATCAAATTCTCTTTTGAAAATAAACAACTAATCCGCCTTAGATACACTTTCAAGATCGAATTTCTAGTTTGTAGTTCGTACCCAGGCACAAATCCACTAGCCAACTAATCTGAGTTTGAATTGGTGAACTAACAATCTACAATAAGGAGGCAGCTCCAGGAAGGTAGCTCTTTCATCCAGTTCCTTCAGTGGACTTGGGCTCCAAATCCACATCCACTTCACAACAAAGAAAGAGAATGCAGGGATCATAGAGGGAGGAATCGAACATCTCTCGTAACGTCAGATATATATGTACTCAAGTGATTAGTTTTTATTTATTTATTCGATGGTGCGAGATACAGATTTGTGATTTGAGAGCTGTTGTCATAAAATTATGGGGTAAATCATGTTGACTGGTTTGTTGAACTACTTCTCATCAGCATGCAGAAGACATGAGAGATCAACAACATTCAACCAGTTAACACAACAAATCACATTGACTGGTTGAATGTTGTCGGCCTCTCATGTCTTCTATATGCTACTGTGAAGTAGTTCAAAAAGGAATTTTGTTCATGTGATTGCACAAGAGACCACCACAACATTTCGGGGTTTCGATCAGCTAGTCTATATATGTAACTTGAAAGATCAATAGCTCCTCAAACTGATATAATCCTCTCTTAGCGAGTGGCTTTCTTTCGTCCCTGTTTCATGGAGAAATGATTCTCTATTTATGCTGGTATCTCCTAGTCAGCCACTAGTATAGGTACTTGTACCTTCACTGGCTGGCCTTTGCTTTTAAGCCACCAAGCTTCAATCTGATGATCAAATATAGTCTCAAATTCTACTAGTCTTCTCTTCTAGTCTGGTATACACAGTGGTTTTTTAAATTTTACGGTGCCTAATTATATGCGGTGAGTGTCTTAGTTCATCAGCTAATTGCTTTGGCCCATATACAGAAAAAACACCATCTCCACGGTGGTGCATGACTGCTAATAATGTGGTAGGAGGATGTCCACTGGGTAAAGCCACTGTTGGGGGTCCGAGGAACTTGGGCTCTTAGTCTTGTGAGCTCAAATTCCAGTCTTTAGGCAGCTGATCTTGTTTGGTGCCTCATTTCAGTAAATTCTAGCGGGTCCACTTACATAAATCTATGATCATCTCTTATCTTTGTTGTTATGCTTGCACACTTCAGTAGACCCTGTATCTGTAATGAAGAACTAAAGTTGAGTTCATGCTATGAGATGACCATCACAATTGGTGACTCCATATATAGCAGCTACTTTATTTCAGATGGAATAGATAGCAGCTAAATTGATAACCTCAATCTAAATATCATGTCCTTGAAATGTTGCTGCATAGGCGATGTAGATATCATATTCTTATTGCAAGCTTTTGTATTTGACCTACCTGGATGACCAACCAGGAATCTTTGATGGTTTTGTACCAATTTGTGCAAATGAAATTGTTTCTTGTTAGCGTGGGGAAAAATGTTTAAGTACTACTACATTCTTGGGCCCTTGTGTGTTTTTCTTGCTTTATCATCACTGTGGAGTATAGTTTGGTATAGTGTGTAAGTGTGTGCGCATTTAGTTGATTCATGACTTGTTTATGTGTCAATGAATGCAGGTATGTGCTAGTGTATCCTCGGAATCTTCAAACATGAATGAGCTTCTCCAGTGGAATGACTTATATGGAGAAGGTGGATCAAGGAAGAAAACATCTCTCAGCTACTTCATGTAGAGGAGATATGTAACTATATACCATTGGTTTATTTATTTTCCTGTTCTGCAGCCCGAGATGGCAGTGGTCCCTGCATGGATAATCCATTTCAGGTTCCCCTAAGGCCCTTGTGTATCATATTAGTTCATAGGATTTTATCTTAGCAATTGCTAGTCTTAGTGAATCTCTCAAATCTTGTCTTATCCAATTTTCTCCTGTGTAGGTCTCTTCTCTGTATATACGAGTTGACTAATTCAATAACCGTATTCTAATATTCTTTTTCTGTATTGAATATTGTATAGTATGAATTCTTATGATGAAGCGGGCAAACTTGTTGGGGTTAACTGGAGGAGTAAATACAGACTATTTTATTGGCCTCCATATGTCTGTTCCGTTGAATGTTTTTATTTACTCTGGATAATATTTTGGCTTTGTTGAGTACTTCCACCACCTCAATAACTAGTCTCTCTCACGGGATTGCCCGCAAATGCTTTCATCTGCGAATTGTGGTCACGTCTTGGCATAAGGTCATCGACATCCATGGACTAAAGCTAGTGCTTAAGTTAATTTGTGTTTGTATTACTGGGACAACTATTTAGGAGCCTGTGTGAAACTCTCTCCTATTAATTGTTAGGTGGGATTTTATTATGGTTCCCCACTCATTCCCAGTTGGTCATTGTTTTTGGTCATTGTTTCTCCTCTTGGTGGTTGTCATGACCATAAATTTCATAACTGATACTGACTTGTCACAGTCAAACTGACATTGTCTAGCTGGATTTGCGTGGTTTCATTTTGTTGTATCAGTATCAGCTAGCTCTCTGCTTTGACCAATAGATCTTAAGCTACGCTTATTTAATGCTGTTTTTATTATATTTTTTTGTTATATTTGTGTAGCTTTTCCTCTTCCTTTCTTAATGTTACTGTTGACAATTGTAATTCTACTTAAATTTTCCAAGGTTATCAGTGTAAGCAATTAGAGAGCTTGCAGTTAAGTTTTATATCTTGTTAGAATTTTGTGACTACTTCATTTAAAAGCTTTGGTTATTAGAGGGTGCAATTTAATTACTTAGTAATGTCTTCAGCACCAATGTTTGCATAAAGTACGGAAAATGTTGATATTTCAAGGGAAAGTATTCTCTGTTTTCTAAAGTGTATAGTTTTCTTGATGCCATATTCACTACTTATAGATGAATAAAGATCTCAACGATCATGGCGGAGCTAAACAGAAATTAGAAATCGTATTGGAAACTAAGTAAACAATGGGGAAAGTAAAAGAAAAGTACAAAACTTCACAAGTCACAAACTAAGATGATTCAGTGCGGTCGAAGAAGAGGACTAAAGTCGAGTCTGAAATTTGGCCTTTATGCCAACCTGATTTAGCAGTGAGCAAAAGGACCTTTAGGTTACAACTTGTGATTACCAGTATAGTTGTAATTGTTGTATTTAGCCACCTGACTTTTCTCAACTCCCAAGGGCTTTTAGGTTAATTTGTCTGATGAAGTAGAATACCTCTTGGCATTACACAAATAGCAGGCCAGATTTACTGTTTACTTTTTCGGTGTACAAAGATTGTACACATATTATATATGAATTTTACATATATTATATATCTGCCGGATTATTTTTAGTTTAAGAAATTAGGTGGACTACTATTTGAGGTTAATTCTTCATATTTCTATTGCGGAGTAATGCCACGACGGTTAATTTTTTTGGGATAAGAAGAAATTACCAGAGTTTGTGTCTATTTCCTTTCACGTAGGTCATAATAGAGTTGTTTGACCAAGTTTTTGGCAAGCTAAAAGCACTTGTTTGTGATCGAATAAGGATTGTGGTGGAGTGATAAATATATTTTATCCTTAACTAGAATCTCGAGTTTCGGCCTAAGCATGGAGTTTATCTTTGATAGGTTGCGCTTTACTCAGAATGTGGAACATTTCGGTGCATATTTGCATTTTATTGGATGCCAGTCAATACGGATACTAGACACCAAATGAAAAACAAACAAGAAAATATTTTTTGTGAAAATTTGAGGTTATTTGGCCAACAAAAAAGTATTTTTGAACTGTAGTTATTCTGTCGTTGAAAAAAGCTAGAAGCAGAAGTAAAAAATTTATTCTTCAAAATAAAAAATATTCTTATCTATAACTTTCATTTACAAAAGTACCTCTTCTTTTCAACAAGAAAATCAACCATTAAATTTGGTCTCTTCCTCTTTCATTGTATGCGTTTTTTTTCATTATCTCTTCAACTCTTTTTTTGTGCTAATCATATCAAATCTCAAATAAAAGATGAAATATTTTAATTAAGTAAAACTGAAAAACTTAATCAAAGTCTCTAAAAATTATTTTCTAAGATAATATTAAGCAAATGCGTACATCTCCTTCCTAACGTGACTTAAAAATCGGTTAAATACAACCACAAAATCTGCCTGTAATAAAGGGGTTGACCAATCGAAATATTTCCACGAAGTTCTATATTCTACATTAAAATTACTTGTGTGAAATAATTATAGTGTTTTGTTGGCCCAAGAACAAGTGAAGTTTTGAAGAATGACAAATGAACTCAGTCATGGACCAGGTCCATCATGTGAAGCACAGTGCTTGTCAACCTATACATGTGAGATGCACGTGAAGGAGATAAGTTCCATTGATCCAGCAGCAATATCTCCTGAACTGATCGAAAAGGTTGCATATGGGTTAAGGAGAAAAAGTCTCCTTATGAGAAGAGAACACAATCCGGATAAAGGATAGGGTTGGAGTTTGTGTTGTTCAAGGACTCAACTTCGATGGAAGATTAGCAATTGAGTCTCAATCAAACTCTAATTACTAACTCATTAAATAACAGTGATTTTTCTCTTTTACAGGCATTGCACAAACGCAGAAGTAAAACTAAATTGAGAGCAAAAGAGCGAGGCAATTTTGCAAGCAATTTATGTGAGATTTGAGTGTGCATTCCTGAAGCTACTTGGACGAGATAGAAGAACCAATTCCATTGTGTCTTTCTTTTATTTTAGTTCAATTGTAGTAGGTGATTTAAACTTGTACAGAAGCAATTGTATTAGGTACTTTGAGTATTCAAGTTAGAGTTAACTTGAAGTTGTCGCAACAGTTGAGGCTGTGTGCCACAACGGGATTAGAGTTTAATCCTTAGGTTTACAAGAGTTTTGTAAATGCTGTTTTGGCTCAGTGATTTTAGTGGAAGTTTGGGAAATCCTACTGAGTAGTAGGTCGTGGTTTTTTTACCTTTTGAGCCAGGTGTTTTCCACGTAAAAATCTCTGTGTTCTTTATTTCATGTACTTTTAATTACGCAAACAGTAGTAGTAAGTACACCTAGAAGAACCTGATTCTTCTAGAGCGAAAATTGGGTACCACACAAATCACCCCCCCTCTTGTGTGATATTGACGTATAAAACATCAATTGGTATCAGAGCAGGTTATCCTTGAAGAGGATAACACCTTAGGAAAAGATCAACATGAGTGCACCACCTGGGAACTGGGAAGGGCAATCCACTGCTAGGCCTCCACTCTTCAATGGACAATACTATTCTTGGTGGAAGAACAGGATGAGGGATCACATCATAGGAGAAGATTATGAACTCTGGGACATAGTCACTGATGGTCCTCTAGCAACTACAAAGAAGAATGCTGAAGGAGTGGATGTGCCAAAGACAAGGGCCGACTGCACTGCTGAAGACCTGAAGAAGTGGGAGAAAAATGCTAAGGCCAAGAAATGGCTTGTGTGTGGACTAGGTCCAGATGAGTACAGCAGGATCCAAAGCTGTACCACTGCTAAGGAAATCTGGGATACTTTGCAAGTGGCTTATGAAGGAACACCTCAAGTGAAGAGGTCTAGAGGAACACTGTTGTATTCTCAATATGAGAATTTTACTATGAGGAAGGAGAAACTATCCAAGAGATGTATACTAGGTTCACTACACTGACAAATGAACTTAAGTCTCTTGGAAGGATTATTCTTGAAGAAGAATAGGTTGAGAAAATCTTGACAAGGGTTCTACCAGTATCATGGGAAAGCAAAATCACTGCTATTCAGGAATCTAAGAATGTTGCTACTCTCAAGCTGGATGAACTAATTGGAAATCTTACTGCCTATGAACTGAGAAGGCAAACCATGATGATGGATACACCCAAAAAGGAAAGAAGTCTGGCTCTCAGAATTGGTGAAGGTTCAGATCTGGAGGATGATGAAATGGCTATGATCACAAGAGATTTCAAAAAGTACCTGATGAGAGGAAAGGGTTCTTCAAGAGGTACAACCTTCAACAAACCCAGGGCTCCTGAGAAACAGACCAATGAGGGTTGCTACAAGTATGGTAAGACTGATCACATGATCAAGAACTGCCCTCAATGGGAAATTGAGTGGAAGAAAGAAAGGGCTGAACGAAGGAACATGAAGAAGGAACAGGTTCCACCAAAAAAGAACAAAGGATCAACAAAGGCTATGGTTTCTGCCTGGGGAGAAATATCAGACGAGGACTCAGAGGATGAAGCTGGAGATGAACATGCCCTTATGGCCATCGGAGAATCAGATGATGAACAAGAGGTAAGTATTCTTCATCCCAAAGACAAGATTAAATTTCTGTCTAAAGGAAGGCTGGCTGAGCTATTACTAGACTTCATTGATGAGTCTGAGATAATTAACAATGAGAAGGACGATCTGTCCAGGGAATGTGTGATCCTAAAAGCAAAATGCAAAAGTCTAGAGTCTAGGGCTAATGAGAGTGATAGCAAAAATGCCGAGTTGAAGAACCAGGTTCTTGAACTTGACACCAGTGTCCTAGAACTTAGATCTGAAAACTTAAAATTGAAACTAGGAACAGGAAAGAAGAAAGCTGATCACACATATCTCACTCTAGAGGAAAACTTAGGAAAAATGAAGGATGAGTTGTATAAGAAGGATGAATTGATTAAAGTCCTAAAAGAAGATCTAGGAAAAGTGAAATATGAACTAGACAGAACTTGCAAATGGAACAAGGCTTCTGATGCACTATCCTGGCTACAAGAACATCATAGTAGCAACAAAAGAGGACTTGGCTATGGGACTCAAGCACCAAAGTGGGACCCTAAAATCAAGTACCTCACTCTTCCCGAGAACAAAATCTGCACACACTGTGGCAAGACAGGTCATTACAAAAATGAATGTAATGCAAAAGTAAAGGCCAGTCAAAAGAACAAAGCCTTTGTTCAAGAGAAAAGTAAGCTGCCTGGGTGGGCAAGAAGGAATTTGATTCATCCTTTTGCCCATAGAAAGGGACCCAAACTAGTTTGGGTTCCTAAGACTAACCCCTGATTTCTTTTTGCAGGTCCAAGTGAAAGGAAGTAGCCAAATATGGTATATGGATAGTGGCTGCTCAAAACATA